ATTTCCATGCATAGTTCATTTTTATTCAAATGTGTCATTTTTGACTTATGCCTGACAAAGGAGCTTTTGTGGATCTTAAGGTGTTTGAGTCGCACCTATGATCCGAGGATTAATTTAGATTCCTCACCACTTCTCTAGTCTGTCATTTCAAAATTAAGGTTGGCTATACGCAGATAGTCCTTCTGTAACTTTGCACGATTTCCTTAAAAATCAAAGGGCTTTTTCAAATACACACTGTGTGCTTCTATTATTCCTCTAAGCAAGACTGTAGTTCTTGCGCTACCAAACCGTTATATTGTACTACTGTATAATAACACGTTGTGCATCGCTTCATATATCAGGATTCGTAAAACTAGTAAGCCCGTCTTCTATACGGTATACAATGATGTACATGCGATACTTAAATTGGTTTATTGTTGGCAAAGTACTGAATAATATTCGTATAGAAAGCACATACATATCAAATGAACCATGGGCCCATAAGCATATCTGCTCGGTATGTTTTTATTCCATCTTTTGAGAAACAACGAAATCTTGACTTGCTGCTCTCATAAACAACAAAAGATCGGCTTCTGAATCTTATGGTGTGCCAGTACGACACTTAATAAACCATATGAATATTATTTATATTAAAGGATCTCGTTTCTTTGTTGTTGTTTTTAGCACAAAATGAGGAATCGAACACTAAATGTTAGCACTTTAAGTCCGTGAACGTACCACTGATCGAAGTGGGGTTCTTGTTGTTTTTAGCGCAAAGATAGACTCAATGAGCAGTCTGCGCTCCTCCTTCTTGCGAGGATACTCGAACCATGGATTGTAGAGTTGTAAGCCAATAAAGCTACCGCAGCATAAAGGAAACAAAAAACGTGTGTTAAAACTCAGTGTTTTGTGCTCGGTTGTGTTTCTTTTCAAACACGATGAAACATGTAAGACCTTTAGAATTAAATAATAGCATCATTTTCCGCGAAAATATTATTTTTACTATAATATTTATGATTACCGATCCAATGAAACTTTGCAATATTTTCAATGTCTGCGGAATAACGACAATACAAACCGAGTTTCGATACCCATGGTGGACAGAGCACAGATAGCCCTTTATTCTAACATAAGAATAAATTTGGCATTATCACTAGAAAACTGAAATGTTGGATTTAAAAGGTTTCTTTATAATGTTACTGATAAATCAGTTTTCTTAAAATGTGTTATTGCTACTGATGAAGCCTTTATTTCATAATGCAGTGGATATTCACAAAGCCAGCCAGGACCTGAAAGTGTACCTACGAATTGATCAAAATATGTGGTCAAGTTCTATCATCTAGCCTCTGTGGTTTATATAAGAATTGCTTAATATTTAGATATAACGAGATGTTTGAAGATAGCTAAAGTAATTTCTGTATTTAATTCAAAATTTTCACACACTGTATCTAATTATAGACCTATCTCAATATAACTTTCAAAATATTTAAGAAGTTGATTTACACTAGATTTGGGTCGTTTTTTTCATTACAATAATATCAACTAATTAATCATTATCAATAGCCTGAAATGGGCATATACTGGCAATACATTTTAGGAAAACAATGCACCTCAGAAGAAGGAAAATTCTCGAACTCTTATAGAAATAAAATGAGCTCAAACGACACCACTGATGACATCAAGTAAATGCAATTCTGATTATCCTTACTTGTTTTCAAAAGTTAAGAACATGGAAACTTAATCATTTAATGTGAGGATAAATTTCTTAAATCATATTTGACAAAATTTGGTCGTTAAATCTTAACCAGTAACCGACACCAGAGGCTGTTAATATCTGATTTGTCTCATTTCTCTTCATAAACACTACATTGAATCTGGTTCACACGTATTTGATGTTCTCCTTTTTTACAACACAACATTGATAAAAGAGTATACACCTTGTGTGGGTGAGGTTTTTATTAACGAAAATTTTCTGATGATAAGAATAATCAAGCACGTGCATAGTCCAAGCTTTTTTTCTGCCTGCATAAAATGTTTTCTAGGATCACTATATTTAGTCTTTCGGGGTGGTTGTGCTGTACTGATATATTTCTTTAAGAAATAAGTGTTATATACGTAACTTGTGAAGTTTTCGTACAGTTCCAATTCAGTTGATTATATGTATAAATAAACGTCAATATGCGTGTGTATCTGTTCCATATACATTTCTTGATCAATCAGCACCAAACTTGATACAGAATAACATGAGAGGTGTGGGACCGCCATCTAATGTCATATTGATAAAATTCTTAAAAACAGTATGTCTTTCTTTCCAGTATTGGTACCTTTATGCATTTTTATTGTACTTTAATGTTAAGAAGAAAAAAAATAGAAACACAACTTTTTTATTTCAACCGTCTAACGAACGGGTACTCCAGCTGGTGTATATATATATATAAAGAGTAAAACAGGGCAGGTAAATATTTGCCTGGCTGAAAGCTGTAGATGCATTAAGATTATATTGACAATATCGGTGAAGTCCAAAATAATTAGTTTGAGAACACGAAGACGGACTGCAAAATAAATATCAATATTCCATTAATAGTCAGTTGGAATTTAACTGAAATTTAAAACGGTAGAGTAGTTTACACACTTGAATTTTCAAAGAAAGTAAATAAAGTAATTGGAACATAATGTGAAAAAGAATATGTACATGCATATATATATACTCTACAAGTCATATTTAAAACAACTCCATGGTGTATAGTACTTACCGGATTTTATACAATGTTGAAATAATTCCATGACATACAAATGTAAGTATTTATAAGGTTTTAAAATGAAGAACATAACGAACCGTTTTGTTCTGTAGTGGAAGGTATTGGATATATTTATTAACTTTAGCTTGTGTGAACGTTAATTTTGTTATAGAAAAATAGTGGGAGAAACTTTTTTTTTTTTTTTTACTTGTCACTTGTTCTATTGTTCTGATCATGCACAAAGAGTATTTATAGCTTATGTATCAACATATTGTTAGGACTGTTCTAATATGGCTATTTTCCCGGACAATATTCTGTAATTGTTTATTGAAATTTTGTCGCAATAGTAATTTAAGTGACAAAACTGGGGGTGGGGTGTTTAGAGAATGCAACATAACTTTGATTTGCCTTAATTAACACCAAAACCGTTGTCAGTATTTAATATTGAAACTACTCTTACAAAACAAATCTTGATTCAGGTGCTTCCTAGTGGTTAGTTAATGTGTGGGCTAAATACAAAAATAATTCTACCTTGTTACTTACTTCACAACCAAACATTTCCAATCTTTGTGAATATATATATATGTATAACGCTTATGTTAATTTATTTAAGAAACCGTACATCTGTATTAAAATTGAATGATAAACTTTAACAGGATTGTCTCAACAGTGGAAACGCATCGTGAATAATAACCATTGGAGAAAAATGGAAAAGGCATGCTTGATTCACAATTGAATTAACAAACAAAGAGAAGTTTAAATTGATTATCAAACAACAGATGGAAACACTTTCCTATCGCTGTACTTTTTTATTTGTAAGTCACCGGTTTGATTTTTCAGTTTTAAATATTGTATAATAATATGAAATTTAACATTTTTAGTTGTGGGTAAAATTGGCAAGTCTTCCGTCATACTCAGGTACATTGATGTCCGATAGAAAAGTCAAACGTTTACGCAAAATGCAGGTTTAGGACTGTTAAGGGAAGAGCAAATTGAGTAAGGCCAAGGAGGATAAAAAACAAGTTTTAAACATGAATATTTTTATTAAAGAAATATGGTGTGTGTGTTTTTTTCACACAAACAGGCCCGGCTTCTACTTAATCATCTGTTTTCTGGGGCTGAAGGCTGCGAAAGTCGGGTATCTCTCAAATTCTCAGCTTGAATACTAAAACCAATCTTCTACACGCATTATTTTACGGATTTCTTTAATACGTCTTTGGATATGCCATCTTTCATAGAGAAACATATTGAATCTAACCATAGAGTTAAGAAAAAAAAGTTTGGAAAATTAGAAAAATGTTGCGTTAATATACATATATTCTATACTAGTCATATAACATTTCTTCTAAATAGGGGGCTAGGATTGGTATAGTCGTTAGGGTGCTCTGTCTGTCGATACGAGAGTTCGTGGTTTTTCATAAACGTATCTGAATTGTGGGGTGAGACAAGAGTTGACGGCGGATGCAGTTGACGAGCTGTTTTCCTTTTCTAGTCTATCAGTTGAAAGTAAGGAAAAGCTACGCACAGATAGCCCTTTCCTTGAAACAAATAAAGAATGAGCTATTTTAAAGTGGATTTAAACAGAGTGTTTAACAAATGAATAGGATTTTTCTACAGATTTGATTTACTATTTTTATTGATTTCTAAGCGACGATTCGTGCTTCATCCTGAGTAAAGATACATTGTAACAATTGCTTCCTGCTTAATTGATCAGTTGTCGACGATTTATTTTTCCAACTTATTTGTTTCCCTTATTAGTCTTAGCCGTGCGCATAGTTACCAAACTCGATTTCTGTTTGTAATTAAACACGAAGTTACACAATGCACTATCTGTGCTACGTCCAGCACGAGTATCGAAACTTGGTTTTTAGAGTAATTAGCCTTCATGTTTATCGCCGAGCCACTAGGGAGCCCTAAACTCGATATTAAAAACGAATACAAGTTGCCAGTTCGGAAAAATTAGTCCATAATGAATACATCAATGAAACAGTTCTAAGTTAGAGTGTTTTATGTAATTGATTTATAAAGGAAATGGAGTTAGATGTATACAAATTTATGTAAAGTTGTAGCTGTTCTATATCCTTACCAATCAACAAAGTAATTGTAAAATGGCAAAAACTGACGTCATCATGAAACTTCGAGTAAAAATAATTGACGGGTTTAAACGTCATATTTACTATCGTCTTACTAGACATAAGCAAACCGGAAAACCATGAATTGCAAAAGAGTAGCTTTATTTATATATAAAATACAACATAACATTGACTAGGAGAAGATGATTAGGAACAATTTACTAAATTATGTGAACAACTTTCATAATATACATATATATACATTATGACGAAAATTACAATGAAGCACATGAATGAATATTATTCCGAAGATGTGTAATATGATTTATCACATTTTAAGTAAAAAGTTTATAAGTCTTTATATTCGATACAGATTATTATCTCTTCTACAGTTAATCCACTTCTTCAACTGTTGGACCAGATCGTGAACTTCTAGACGACTTTCCAGAATCAGTTGTTTGGTGGAGTTTGGTCATAATCGGACTACATTCTTGTTGAACTTCTTTAAGTTTATATTCAAATTCATCCTTCTCTGCTAGACCGTTGTTGTCTATCCACCTAATCGTGTCCTCACACTTCTGCTCAACTTTCTCTTTGTCAGCAGATGACAATTTTTCTCCACCTTCGTTTACTGCCTGTTTTACACTATACACGTAACTCTCGAGCTGATTGCGAGCACTTACTCTTTCTCGCTGTTTTTCGTCTTCTTGGTGGTACTTTTCAGCTTCTGCTAGCATCCTATCAATCTCTTCCTTCGACAGTCGTCCTTTTTCGTTGGTGATCCTTATACTTTCAGCCTTTCCTGTGCTCATATCCTTGGCTGAGACATGCAGAATGCCGTTTGCATCAATGTCAAAAGTCACCTCAATTTGAGGCACACCACGAGGTGCTGGAGGTATACCCATCAGTTCAAACTTCCCCAACAAGTGGTTGTCTTTGGTCATTGCTCTCTCCCCCTCAAATACTTGGATTGTCACTCCAGGTTGGTTGTCAGAATAGGTTGTAAAAACCTGAGAGGTCTTGCAAGGAATTCTGGAATTTCGTTCTACAATTTTGGTCATTACTCCTCCAGCAGTCTCGATACCAAGAGACAAAGGTGCTACATCTACGAGCAACACGTCCTTGATATTATGACTGGTATCACCACTCAACACGGCTGCCTGAACTGCAGCTCCATAGGCCACAGCTTCGTCAGGATTGATCGACATACATAGATCTTTACCATTGAAGAAATCCTTTAACAACTTCTGGATCTTGGGGATCCGAGTGGATCCTCCAACAAGAACTATTTCACTAATTCTACTCTTGTCCATCTTGGCATCAGAAAGAGCTCGCTCAACAGGTTCCAGTGTACCTCGAAACAGGTCCATACACAGTTCTTCAAACCTGGCACGGCTGATTTTGCTGTAGAAGTCAATGCCTTCAAAGAGGGCGTCAATCTCAATAGAAGCTTCTGTACTGCTGGACAGTGTTCGCTTGGCTCTTTCGCAAGCAGTCCTCAGTCTCCGAAGAGCACGAGGACTCTTGTGCAGATCCTTTTTGTGCTTTCTCTTGAACTCTTCCACAAAATGGCTAACCATCCTGTTATCAAAGTCCTCACCACCCAGATGTGTATCACCAGCAGTGGCTCTAACTTCAAACATTGAACCCTCATCAATGGTCAGTATTGACACGTCAAAGGTTCCACCTCCTAGATCATATACGAGGATGTGCTTTTCACCTTGAAGATTTTTATCGAGACCGTATGCTAAGGCAGCAGCTGTTGGTTCATTTATAATTCTCAGTACATTAAGTCCTGTGATAGCTCCAGCATCTTTGGTAGCTTGTCTCTGAGAATCATTAAAGTAAGCTGGAACTGTGATTACTGCATCTTTCACCGGCTGGCCAAGATAGGCTTCAGCTGTTTCTTTCATCTTTGTTAGAACCATAGCACTGATTTCTTCAGGATTGAATAGCTTATTTTCCCCTTTAAATGAAACTTTCACTTTTGGCTTACCGCCCTGATTTACGACGGTGAAAGGCCAGTGCTTCAGGTCTTGTTGGATCTTTGGATCATCATACCGACGGCCGATGAGTCTCTTGGCGTCAAATACTGAGTTCTCGGGATTCAGAGATACCTGGGATTTTGCTGCATCTCCAATCAATCGCTCTGTGTCTGTAAAGGCAACGTAACTTGGTGTTGTTCTGTTACCTTGATCATTGGCAATGATCTCGACTTTTCCGTTCTCGAACACTCCCACACAAGAGTAAGTTGTGCCGAGGTCAATACCAATCGCTGGTACTCTTCCACGCGACATGTTTTAACTATTTTTGTAGTTTCCTTGTATAAGTGAGACTTTTCAACTGAAACAACTCAATATGCGCTATTTCGCTTTCAGCACTGTTAACAACAAGTAACGTGAAACTGTTTCAAGTACTACTCGACTGCAGAACTTTTTCGAAATTTATCCCACTCTACCTTCAACGCAATATTTATATACTCTTTGTAACTTTTCTCGAAATTTCCCGAACGTATCTGATTTCGTTGACTCATAACGCTTTTTTAGACAGCGCCCTCCCGCGTGCACTTTAGCCAATCACGGTTCTAGCTAACTGCAGATGTACCAGCCTCTTGTGGTAGCTTCGAGAAAATTCTCGAGAAATCATGAATGTGCAGCGTGTTACGTAATTTAAGGAATACATTTATGATTTAGAGCAGTTTAGTTTTTAGATAATATTTGTGTTTAACTTCTGAGGGTTTTATTTTATTAGAATTGCAGGTTAAAAGTATTAGTTTTTGCTGAAGTGGCGATATTTACTCCATTTCGTGAAGTAGGCCTAAGTTAAGGTGTTTATAGATTTTTCCCATCACAATGACATTAAAAGTTAATGTGATAGCACACTTGTCATTACCGATACGTTTCGAATAAAAAATTAGCATGTCGTATTTGTTATTAGTATGATGCTATAGTATTTAAATATATATATATATATATACTGACAGTTTACGAGTAGTAAAGGTAGTACCAGTAGTAGTATTGTCTCGAAAACCAGTTGAAAAGAATACTTGTTTTTATGTGTTTATTAAGAACTTCTGACCAAAGTAAACTGACAGTAAATAAATGTTTATATAAAATCAATTATTTTAATATCGCGAGATAATATTGTGTGGTAATACGTTGATTAAAACTTAAAAATACTGTCTTTGTACACTACAACAGAAAAACCTGCGATGATTAGTGTTAATGATATTATCAGCAGTTTTTTTTAAGTATAAGTTTAAATAATTAAGGATTTTCTTTACGTAACTACATTTTAATTTAGAAAAGAAGTGTATCTACCATTCAGTTATCTGTATTCGTAGCTATTTAACCCTATAATTACCTATGGACTTTGTAAAAAAAATCAAAATTTTAAAACTATTATGCACCTAATTGCTTGTGATGGTCATGCATCCTGAATAGCATGCGAGTCACATAAAAAAGGTAAAATATGATATCATGGAGCAATTAATCTCGCTAATTATGTTTTTTTAAGTTTATAATTGTTGTGAGTGTTGAAGCTTAAAATACGTAATAAACAGGCATGCTCTGCTGTCAAAACATTTGTTTACGTTAAACACTTTATCAAAAACGAATCTTGTGTTGCAGTCCGGTTCCTTTTAAAGTGGCCAAACTTAGTTGAAATAAAGCTTTAGCATGATTTCTTATTCTACTAATTGAGTATTCCTGCTTATTTTTAGTGATGAATGTGGTTGAAGTAAGACACTCTTTGGTTGCATTTTTCAAACTGTTCTAACTTGTAGTTAATTAAAGAAATTCAACTAATAAACTGCCAAAGTTTGTATTGAAAAAAATCATTACTTTAATCAACGTAATGTAGAAGAAAAACAACGTTTTCATTTGCAAAGGAAGTAATGATTAAATATTTTAAATGGCAAAAAGACCAATTGGTCAACCAACCTTATTATATGTTTGACTTTAATTGATCTGCACGTGGCATGAGGCACAAAAAATAAGTTTAATAAATAAATATGAGATTTAAGAAGAACGATTTTGAAAGCCTTTTTAATATTGTAAAAATCTAACCACAACTCCTCTAAACTCAACTGACCTTCAACCTAAAGAAGTAAGACATTGAGGTAGATAAAGTCATTCATGGCAGTTAAAGTAGTAATGTGATCATGAAGGATGAAAATAATTTTGGTAACATTTTATTGTTGATTTTATACATAAATTATTCCAATTCTAAATTGCAAGCATTACACATTTTTAGAATATTTGATTCTATGGTGTTACATGGTCCATCTTTGATCCAAAGTTTATACATTTTGTAATTTTATTTATAAACAGTATGGACTGTGTAGCTTTGTAAAGTAACTAACCCACAACTCATAATTGCATATATAAGTGCATAATAAACCATCTGTTATATTTTGAGATTTGACATCACACCAATAGTTTCTGGCAAATTAGTACTAATTATTTTTATACGTTGTTTCCAATTTAACTTATAATGACTTCCACTTCTTTAACTAATTTGCCTTGTTTGTTTATGTGTCAAAGCAGAATGTTTGTGACCCTGGCCACTGTATTAACGAGATTTTAAGTAGTATTTTAAAAATTGAAAATTTGGTTGAAGCACATGAAAAATGATTTATTGTACGTTTTAACACGCAGTGTCACCACAAATCTTGATAGAATTTAAGAACTAATGTGGGAACTTCCATGCCTACCTGGAACTAACCTCAATGATATTAATTCAGTATACCTAATTATGGATTTCTGGGAAAGGACTATGTAAATAATGGTGGTGGGGTTGTTTTTTTCTTAAGAATTATAAAATATGAAAGATATTCAGTTTCTAATTGTGAGGATGAACAAATAACTTAAAATATTGTAATTGGAGTCATTTGTTTTCACCTGGATTATTATGTAGAAGAATTTGAAGAAAATATATTTCTGAAACTTCGAAATTTTTTAATGACTATACACGTGGGGATATAAATATTCATTTGCTAACATATGATACCAATAATCACAGCAGTTGTTACTTTAAATACTATTCTTTCTGAAGGAAGTATCCCCTAATTACTAGCCCAACTAGAGTTACTTAATGTTTCATAATAACTTAACTGATAATATCTATACCAGCCATTCTCTGAATCTGACTACATCTGGCATAATGAATAACTCTTGACATATCTGATCATCTACATGTTCCAGTAAATCAACAATAAAGGATATGAGAAACTTTATGGAAGGTGCATTTAAATGAAGATTTATGTGGTATCAGTGAGGAGTTGAAGGAAATTTTTCTAAATTTCTGTAATGGATAAGCATGCAACTCTAAGAACAATTACAATAAAGGAAAGTAGACTTAAAAGTAAATTATGGTTAATTCTAACAGTATTAAGTTCTATTAAAACAAGACATATCAAACATACTACTTGCATGTAAATGACATAAAAAAAACAACAGATTTGTATAAATTAATCAAACTGAATTACAAAAAAATTCTAAAAGCATATAATATAGGGTAAGAAACAAATATATGTAATACAGAAAAAATTGACAGGCTAGTTGAAACATGGTTTACATTAAAAATTAGATAGATATATATATATGCTTACATAAAGTTTACTCAAATAAGATGAGATTAATGATCACTGATTAGCTGAACTTTGTAATGTTTTAATGTTCAGTTTTCTAACATAGGAATAAATCTGGCATCATCACTAG